ACGCGCATAAACTGCTGTACACACAGACTAAGAAACAACTCCATCGCTGGAAAAACACTTATATTCGCCTGACATTTCAAGATCTGTCACGGATCAATCATCAGAGACATAAACATAAAGCAGTAGCAGATACGGGTGTTGCCGGAGAGACCCGTATCTGCTACGGCTTTCTGCTTATATCTCTGATGATGGATCCGCAACGGATCTCGAAACGTCAGGTGAATAAAAGTATTGTCCCAGAGATCGAGTTGACTTCTCCTCAATTACCTTCTAGGACTCACATGCTTGTTTGTATTGGCAGTACACGCAGACTGTTGCAGTAAACTGTTCTCTACTATCCCATCTGTCTTCTCTTCCCAACACACAACTGGGGGACATTACAAGATCACAACAGTTACCTTTCTTCAGTTCTGATCCCTACCCTCCAAGTTTATGTGTAAATATTTCCTGGGACTGTAACAGAAAAGGTTGTTCATTCGGTACCACGTAGCAGTACACTGAAAGAAATGGTTCAAAACCAAGAAAACGAGAGAGTATATGGGCCTAATGTTCTTCATGGGCACTAGTATTCGAAAAGGGCTAAACACTCTTCTTGGAAAGTCTACCTGATAGTCGATTGTCTTCTCGTCCTCTGGGTTAATGACGCAAGCAGTGGAGGTAGAGGTCCAGAATATCCGGCGAGCACCAACTGCCCCCATATCCTGCAGTGCGTCCAGACCACCTACATCCTCAGTTGTCGAACCGACGTAACGAAAGCACTTCCCCTTCTTCACCTCTGGGTAGCCCTGGCAACGCTTTTTGCAGGGAATAGTGTTGAAGCATTCCACCGGAGGCTCGCTGAATGGACGTTTGACGCGCAGAAGGATGGTGGACGAGTCAATCTTGGGTTTCGTCTTTTTGGAGTCACTTGAAAATTGCATGGATGGGAAACCATAGAATGCGGACGCACTGTGTGTCAAAATAGACTGGCATAAATATGAAAAAAGTATTCACGGCGTGAAAGGTTTGTGTTGGGAATGCGCCCATTCCCACCATTACTCATCTTGCAGAAAGGCCCCTGAGTGCAACTCCACGCCGCGATCATGAGAGCGCGCGACGTGACTATCGATTGTTCTTCAAAGCTGATTGGTCCCCTCTGACTGACGCCTGCTCATGGAGCCGACTGAATAAATACTTCGTAGCCCTCTTGTAGGAGTGACTTGCCTTGACATAATCGGTGTGAATAAACTTCCCCCCCCCGGCCAATTGACTTCTCCTCTTCTCTCGTGCTGGCGTTCGGGACAACAGTCGGGCTAGCTTAGAATTCGTGCTAATTACAAGTCCCAGACGCGGGTCATAACGGTTGGAAAATGCATTTTTTCAGTCAGGAATAATCGGCACCTATCCTTGACCCAGATGCACTAACACACA